TGGGGAAGACCTGGTCTGATCCGGAGAGACGGCATCCATCCCACTTGGGAAGGAGCAGCTCTCATTTCTAGAAATCTGGACAAGTTTATTAGTGGACCAAATCCATGACAACCCAGAGTTGAGACCAGGAGGCAGAGTCGCAGTTTAACACACTTCTCTGCCCTTCTTTTTCAGCAGTTACCCACCCAAAACCCTACGCAGAGTCGCAGTCTAACACACTTCTCTGCTCCTCCATTTCAGGAGTTACTTAGTGAAAATCCTATAGTGACGGTGTCTGCCCCCCCGACCACTGAAATTATTTAAAAAGGTAAACAGAAGAGGAGCTGTTCATAAAAACCTCATAAAAATTAAAACCACAAGAGCAATAGTGCAAACGAATAGGAGAGTTAAATGTGGACTCTTAAACATCAGATCTCTCTCTTCTAAAGGTGTACTAGTAAATGAACTAATATCAGATTATGATATTGATTTATTTGGTCTTACTGAAACCTGGCTGGGTGACGGAGAATATGTTAGCCTAAATGAATCCACCCCTCCCAGTCATATTAATACTCACATTCCTCGAGGCACAGGCCGAGGAGGTGGAGTTGCAGCTATCTTCGACTCTAGCCTACTAATCAGCTCTAAACCTAAACTAAACTATAACTCATTTGAAAGTGTTGTTCTTAGTCTTTCGCACCCAAGTTGGAAATCACTGCAACCAATTCTTTTTGTTATAGTGTACCGAGCACCTGGCCCGTACTCTGAATTCTTATCTGAATTTGCAGAGTTTTTGTCAACTTTAGTCCTTAAAACGGACAAAGTTATTATTGTAGGAGATTTTAATATTCATGTGGATGTTGAGAATGACAGCTTCAGTACTGCGTTTATCTCTCTGTTAGATTCCATCGGCTTCTCTCAGAGTGTTCATGAACCGACTCACTGTTTTAACCACACCCTCGACCTTGTTTTGGTGTATGGTATTGAAATTGAACATTTAGTGGTGTTCCCACAGAATCCCTCTTTATCCGACCACTGTTTGATAACTTTTGAGTTTGTATTGCAGAACTACTCGCCATGGGGCAAAAATTTCTATACAAGATGTCTGTCTGATAGTGCCATAGCTAAATTTAAGGATGCGATTCCATCAGCTCTAAATACATTATCTAGTCACAAAGTAACGGAGGACTCCTATGCTAATTTCAGTCCCTCCCAAATCGATCATCTTGTTGATAGTGCTGCAGGCTCGCTGCGAATGACACTCGACTCTGTAGCCCCTCTAAAAAAGAAAATACTAAAACAAAGACGGTTAGCTCCATGGTATAATACGGAAACTCGCAAATGAAAGCAAATATCACGGAAACTTGAGAGGAATTGGCGTTCCACCAAAGTGGAAAATTCTCCTTTAATTTGGCAAGATAGTCTTAAAACTTATAGGAAGGCCCTCCGTAATGCTAGAGCAGCGTACTACTCGTCATTAATAGAGGAAAATAGGAACAACCCCAGGTTTCTTTCACAGAGTCACAGCTCTATTGAGCCAAGTATTCCCATAGCTCTCAGTAGTTACGATTTCATGAGCTTCTTTAATGATAAAATTCTAGCTATTAGAGACAAAATTCACCAACCTCAAGTTTAATTTAAAAGCTGATGGCATTGTGCAATTTTGCGATTTATAATCTGAGTAGTCGATTATTTCGTTTCAGTAATTGTATAGTCATTAGTTGCAGCAATTCCATAAGGCCGAAGAGTTTGTCCAACTCATTAGAATCCTCTATACATCCACAATGTGAAAAGAATGCAACCAGTGAACAAATCATGCTCATCCTCCAAAAACTTGAAGAGCACTTCACTGTGAAGCATAAAGATACAACTTTTGTGCTAACCATCAAAGAGAAGGTGTGGGAGGACCTCTCCGAGCGCAATCAGGATGAGGACATTCAAGCCTTCCAGCATGAGGCCACAGCATTGGACTTCAGATTTAAAGAGAGGCCAGTAAGTACCTGAGACAGACAGAGGAAGGCATCTGTTGAGGCCAATGTGACAGAAGCAACACCTGAGCTGCTGAGGAGCTGAAGCAGACAGACACAAAGCACCAGCAACAGGAAGAGGAGTCTTCAAGACAAGGAGAGGAAATGGGAGGAGAAAGATCCTCAATTGTACAAAACAAGAAGTGCCTTGGAGAAGCTGTTCTCAGAGGAGGACAGGTAGTTGAGGTTGATGATCTAACAGGACACCTCGTCCCTCACCCTCAGCGACAGCAAGCGTGTTGACCTAGAGGTCACACTTTACAAAAGCCTGCCTCCTATCCCCATGGCTAAAATTCATGTGATGTGGTTTTGGGAGAAGAGAACTGCTCTACCCCTCCTCACAAACAATGCAACAAGCTACTTCTGTGCTTCTATATCCCTATAGGGTATTTTTGGCTGCAGGGAACACAATAAGCCAGGAGAAGTCCCAACTTCTGCCAGAGAAGACAAATGTGGATCTTTCTCCAGAACAACTTCTAAGAACTGTTAGGCATTTTGCAGCCTACCTGCAACCCCACCTATGTTGCTCTATACCTCTGTATTTTCTTTTATAGTAAATAATTGTTTATTTTGTTTTTTTTACATTTGTGAAAATAAATGTCAGTTCCTTTCTTCTGCTTCGTTTTTTTCCTCTTAAAAAAATAAAAAGTTCTTAAGTACTTAATAAAAATACTGTTGAAGTACTAGATTGATAAGCAGAATAAATAACAGTAATAATACCATCCCTATCCCATATCCACCCAAACGGTGTATGTATGTATGTATGTATGTATGTATGCATGCATATATATACACACAGTGGGTACGGAAAGTATTCAGACCCCTTTAAATTTTTCCACTCTTTGTTTCATTGCAGCCATTTTCCAAAAATCAAAAAAGTTCATTTTATTTCTCAGTAATGTACACTCAGCACCCCATCTTGACAGAAAAAAAAACAGAAATGTAGAAATTTTTGCAAATTTATTAAAAAAGAAAAACTGAAATATCACATGGTCATAAGTATTCAGACCCTTTGCTCAGTATTTAGTAGAAGCACCCTTTTGATCTAATACAGCCATGAGTCGTTTTGGGAAAGATGCAACAAGTTTTTCACATCTGGATTTGGGTATCCTCTGCCATTCCTCCTTGCAGATCCTCTCCAGTTCTGTCAGGTTGGATGGTAAACGTTGGTGGACAGCCATTTTCAGGTCTCTCCAGAGATGCTCAATTGGGTTTAAGTCAGGGCTCTGGCTGGGCCATTCAAGAACAGCCACGGAGTTGTTGTGAAGCCACTCCTTCGTTATTTTAGCGGTGTGCTTAGGGTCATTGTCTTGTTGGAAGGTAAACCTTCGGCCCAGTCTGAGGTCCAGAGCACTCTGGAAAAGGTTTTCGTCCAGGATATCCCTGTACTTGGCCGCATTCATCTTTCCCTCGATTGCAACCAGTCGTCCTGTCCCTGCAGCTGAAAAACACCCCCACAGCATGATGCTGCCACCACCATGCTTCACTGTTGAGACTGTATTGGACAGGTGATGAGCAGTGCCTGGTTTTCTGCACACATACCGCTTAGAATTAAGGCCAAGTGATGGTTGACTTACTACAACTTTCTCCCATCTCCCGACTGCATCTCTGGAGCTCAGCCACAGTGACCTTTGGGTTCTTCTTTACCTCTCTCACCAAGGCTCTTCTCCCCCGATAGCTCAGTTTGGCCGGACGGCCAGCTCTAGGAAGGGTTCTGGTCGTCCCAAACGTCTTCCATTTGAGGATTATGGAGGCCACTGTGCTCTTAGGAACCTTAAGTGCAGCAGAAATTTTTTTGTAACCTTGGCCAGATCTGTGCCTTGCCACAATTCTGTCTCTGAGCTCTTCAGCAGTTCCTTTGACCTCATGATTCTCATTTGCTCTGACATGCACTGTGAGCTGTAAGGTCTTATATAGACAGGTGTGTGGCTTTCCTAATCAAGTCCAATCAGTATAATCAAACACAGCTGGACTCAAATGAAGGTGTAGAACCATCTCAAGGATGATCAGAAGAAATAGACAGCACCTGAGTTAAATATGAGTGTCACGGCAAAGGGTCTGAATACTTATGACCATGTGATATTTCAGTTTTTCTTTTTTAATAAATTTGCAAAAATTTCTACATTTCTGTTTTTTTCCTGTTAAGATGGGGTGCTGAGTGTACATTACTGAGAAATAAAATGAACTTTTTTGATTTTTGGAAAATGGCTGCACACCCACTTACACACCCGCTGGTCATAAGCAAGATATGTCCACTAGGATAGTGAGGAGGGACACAGGAAGTGGGTAAGACTCCGTGCAGGCGGGGCCTGAACGTGAGGCTGAGGGAATGCATGAAGGCATACAGCCTGAAGCAGGAGAGCAAGCTCCAGCAAAACAACGTGAGAGATGTGTGGTCAGGAATGAATGCCATCACAGGGCTCAAGATGAAGGGGAATCAGGCTGAGGGAAACCTAGACAGAGCAAACAAGTTGAATCCAAGAAGGGTTAACTCTGTGGGGTCATTTTCAAGGTAATGGACACCGCCTGGCTCGTTAGTGCTCCTTGCTGTTGTAATGACAGTTGTTATCGTCGCTGGTATAAATGGCCTATTTCACTCTTCTTTCAAACAATCTGTCATCCCTGTACAAACTATGTAATTTGCTGTCCTCTTAAGAGTGTCCCTTACCATTCAGATGTAAGTAAACTTACACTTGACCTGAGGAATTGGCCCTTTTGCATTCAGCCATGCGTTTGTGTAGTGGCTGTTTAGTTTTAGTTTAGTTTCATATACAGATCTGTGAATTCCTCTCCGCATTGGACAGCATACACTGGATTGCTTTTCTTGTGTTTGGGTGTGTGGCCTTTCAAATGGACCAAAATCTGTTTTAGCACATTCTTGAGTTTAAAAACAGGGATGTGGTGTTGAAAATCTTCACGAGGTTCTCTGATACACCAAACAAGTATGCAATCATCAAATCAAATAAATGAAGTAAAGCAAAGGAGTGTACTTACATAGAAGGGTAGACACCAAAGTTGTTGGGGTGGCTCACAGAGGGAGAAGCTGTCTGGTCCATGAATGTCGGAGTTCCACCACTGGGTTCAGGGTTCGGGGTGGTGAATCTACCAGAGACAGTAACACAGAGAGAGACAGAGACAGAGAGAGAGAGATGGTATTGTCAGAGAACCAAATTGTCCATCTCTCTATATATTTTTATGCAGATGCAGATACTGGTAAAAAAAAAAAAAAAAAATGGGAGAAGTTGTGTATCTGAGTATCGGTAAAAGGACAATAAATCGAAATTTAATGTTACGAAGTAAACAGTGGAAGATCTGTGCTAAAGTAGCTTGCTGTCCCTGCCATGCATAAAGGCTAGTATTAACAAATCGCTCCACATTTGCTTTTTACCAGTGGTACACAGGATAATAATAAGGGTTGCGTTAGTTGGTGAAGTAATGTGGAAAGCAATAACGTTCCATATTGCACCGGATAACGTTAGCAACTAGTCGCCGTTAGCCGTCAAGCTAACGTGACTCTCCAGGCTTTGTGATGATCACTCCGACATCATCTGATTGTATGTTGCATTTAATTTATGTTGAAAATTTACTTTATTAATAAGTGATTTTATTGAAAAACTACATAAAGCCCCTTTAAATGTTGCACTTTATTCAGTCCTGCCCAAATTTAGGTTTCCTTTGGCGGTTTTAGAAAAGAGAAGAAGAAAAACTTACTCTGGCACAACTTGTTTGATCTGTGGTTTTACATATCCATCCACTGCTTTGGCTGAAAGAGAGACATACTACCTTAAAACATGTTTCACTTTTACAGTGGCATCCATTTTACTGAACTTATTCCACCATCTGCTATGACACCACCGAGTTAGATAAAATAAGTTAAGAAAATATTCTTCATTTCATTGAGGAACAGCATTTCATTTGCAGATGCTTGTATTTAGCTCACAGCAGTGATGTGGTTATGTAAATACATATAAGCATTGCTGATACATACAGAGTGGAGGGGTGTAGTATTTGGCGAAGACCTCGTCTTTGGGCCGGTCAGGGTAGAGAAAAAGAAGGTGGTTCAGGTCGCTGATGCGGTCAGCCAGGGAGCGAATGGAGAAGTCCTTGGTTGTATAAGGCAGCAGATTCCAGACCAGCCTCTCTCCTAGCCAAAGACAGAAAAAACAAAGACTTACAATCACTGTGTTTACAAAGTCCCATAATATGATACTGTCGCAGAGATTAAGAGGACTTATATACTACCTTGGGAATGCATGTATGAACATATTAGCACACAAACAGAATGAGGGGCTGATACTGACAGGAGACAATCGCACTTTAGCATTTCAGCAGAGGAAAAACTTCTATATGTGTATTGTTTCATAAGAGGGCCTTAAAAGCACAGCAGTTTGGTACCTGGTTTGTTGGGGTTCTCAGCCACCCAGGCAATGGTGATGCCTCCGATCTCAGAGTCACTGAATCTCAGCAGGAAGGTGCCGTTGGGTTTGGACAGCAACATGTCCTGTGCCTGCTGCTTGTTTACAAAGCCCAGGATGGCCCTATGCACACAAACACACATTAACACAAGGGTTTGGCAATGTGTACAAAATTTCCATCGGATGATGTCTACAATGAAACATCATGATGGACGTTGTCATCAGGAGCGCGGGCATCTTATGTGCATGTGTTCTCTCGCACAGACTGCACTCGGTAAAAAAAATGGTAGACTATTAATTTATGATACAAGTCGTGGTAGATATTTTACGCATGCAGCAGTGACCACACAGGGTGCAGATGTTGGTTTCAGTTTTTTGATAAGCTGCGTCATTAACAAGCCCAATTATATGGAAAAAAGACGAGTTCTCAGTCTTTTAGGAGACTGCCGATGGAGAAAATAAAGCAGACTAGGGGGGGGGGCTGGCATCGTCTATTGGCACCAACCCTAATTCACACATATCACTCCAGTGCCACTGCCCCCTCCCGGCCTCTGAAGGCAGAGATAAAGTTGTGCTTTTTTATTTGTAATGTTACAGTTTAAACCATATTTCAAAGTTGATGAAAACACGAGACTGGTTTAGAACAGGAGTTCAATAAATGCATCTGAACCAGTTGATCTCTTTAATAAGAACACCAACTATATGCTCTTCTGCTGAAAGGGGCAGTAAAATCTAAGAATAATTCAGGTTATTACTTTACAGTGAAATTTATTTTCTTGTATATTTTAGGGAACTGCACCAATGCCCATACCAGTTTCCTTAAAATTTCCCTTATTTTCAAATCCCAATGTTGACAGGTATGACAATGTCACACATCCAAGTGTGTCTACGTATGTAATGAAAGTAGTATAAAGGTTTAAGCCTTTTTTTGTCTATTTTCCTCTAAATGGGACCATAATTTAATAAATGAACATCATGCTGTGTTTTCAAAAGACTTGAAACTAGCGACTCAGACCATAAATTCATGTGAAAAGTGTTTAGTGAGGTAGAAAAAATCAGGTGAGAAAAAGGTCATTTTCTCTCAGACTCCAATGAAATCAGAATTGTTTTTTCGCAACCACTGGAGTCGCCCCCCAGCTGGTTCTTTGAAAGAATGCAGGGTTTACAGCACTTCACAATCGCTTCACTTTTCAGACCCAGAGGCTACGTCCACTTCTTATCTACAGTCTATGGTGTGGAGTTAGAAAGAAGTGAGCTTACCAGACCTCTGTAGGCCACTTGTCACCTTTGCTTAAGGATAAAGGCTCCAGGCTACACAACTTGCTACTAGCATAACACATTCAAATCTCTGACAAACTGTCAGTGGTCAAGTTACATCCAGAGCGACCATATCTCTGGTTCACACCCAACCACAGCCAGCAGTGATGAGTGCTGTGGTCAGAGGTAGTGAAACAAAGTCGGCTCTTGCAAGAAAGTTGTCAGCATGAGCAGTTACCCATCATTCCAGTGAGGCTTGAGATGTTTCTTCATGAGTTCCACAACTCCGTCAAACCACTGCCAGAAGGTGAAGTTGCGTCCAGGTAAGCTCTCCTGTACAAATTAAACATATTCATCATTAAGTTTACACGTACACAAGAAGCCAGGTTACTCTGGTTAATAAGTCAGACTATTCTTTTGTGTTTATGTATGTGTGTGTCAGAGCAATTAGAAAGATGGAGCAGTGGGAGGACAGGCTCTCTAGCGAAAGCTGAATTTTACAGTAAGCTGTGGAAACAAGCTGGTCTCACCCGGTTGAACTGGGCCCAGGATATGGTCATGTTGCGGTAGTCCTCTGGGTTGTTGCTGCTGCTTGTAAAAGCCTTCTGTGCCAGGAAGACCAGGTTATCCTCTGACAAGCCACGGCCACTGTGCATCTCAGCCTTGTACTTCATATTGAGGGCCTCGCACAGTTGAGGCCACAGCACCTTGTCTGGCACAATGAACGGCACCCTGCCCTGGAGAGGTGAGGATGGTTGAAAAATAAAGGGAAAAGGCAGGGCAGTAGAGGACTTTAGACCCTGACTGTCAGTTTTTTTGTTCAGTTGTCTCTCACCATATTCACCGTTTTGACAAAATATGGGGTAATGGCTGAATAGCACAAAGGGGACACTACCGGCCGAAACAAGACAACAGATTAAGATTTTACAAAAACACAGTAAGAAGTCCATTCAGAGTAATGAAATATGTTCAGTTCAATATAATAAATCAAGACATAAGTCAAAAAGCAGACATGTGGCACCACACTTAAAACAGAAATGATAAATGATCTGTCTGATTTTATGTTTCTTATTGTGAACAAATCCAAAAATAGTTAAAAATAGTTGCCATAGAAATGAGGGTAAAAATAATAATTTGTTAGAACACTTTTCTCAAAAGATTTCTTCCTACTCTGTCTATGGCTCTAAGCTCCAAGTCTTTAAAACCAACTCAAAAAGATCACTCACTGGCCACTTTATTAGGTACACCTTGCTAGTACTGGGTTAGACCCCCTTTTGCCTTCAGAACTGCTTTAATTCGTCATGGTATACATTCAACAAGGTGTTGGAAACATTCCTCAGAGACTTTGGTCCATATTGACATGAGACATAGTGTGTATGTTAGTGTTGTCTATACTGTAGTTTGTGTCTGATTGTGTTATGGTATTTTTGTACGAGTAAGTACATCGTGAGCAATGTACAATCCCGAGTCAAATTCCTTGTAAGTGTACGCATACCTGGCAATAAAGCAGATTCTGATATGTAAGTTGTCTTGACCATGTCTTCATACCTAAATGCATTGAGTTGCTGCCATGTGATTGGCTGATTAGCTATTTGTGTTAACAAGCAATTGAACAGGTGTACCTAATAAAGTGGCTGGTGAGTTTATAGATTCTTTTTATCTTTTTCCTTCTTTTTTAATCTCATTAATTTCGTAAAACAGCTGCTTACTGTAGTCAAACTGAGGAAATAGTGCAATTGTTGTGGGACTATTTTCAATGGCAGATTAATCCACATGCGGTGCCCTGGTGAGTATTTGGGGCAGCAGGACGGTGTGTGTGGTATTTGGAAAAAATAAACTACAGTGTGTGTGTTCATGGTGATGAATGATCATTTCACCCAGTGCAACAATAAGGCTCACTGATGAGTTGTTAATAGTTTTTGGATAATGAACAATGGAGCTTTATGGCACAGAGGAATATAAATATATAAATGTATTAGGCCTTTCTTTAGACAGGTAATATCATTGAGACACGTGTATCATGCTCCACAGAGACCTGGTAACAATACTTGTTAGTAGGATACATAGATTGTTGATTTGGCTCTGCACATGGGATTTGTCAATACAAAAATACTAATTATGGCAAGACTTTAGCATATTATGCAATCTACAAGCTGACATTGAATGTGAGGTTATAGTGAAATATCACTTGAGATAGTCACCACCTGACATGGTGAAGTATAAAAAGGCCATTGTGGTAAACAGCCAACTCACTGGCTCAGCGAAGGCGTTGTCCCACAGGACTGTTGCTGTGGCGTTGTTGTCCTGACTGCCATGGACGATCACTACCACAGGCAGGGATAAGGTCTGCGGGTTAGAGACACAACAAGAAGGACAGTAACAAGTTAAAGAGGAAGTATCTTCTGGATTCATAAACTAATCAATTATTAATGAATGTTTAAATGTTCCAAAGGAGACCAGGAGAGTGTAGATCAAATCAATAGCAGATGGCCCAGGAGTAAAGCTGATCAGTCAGTAACCAAGCAAGATCCCCAGTGCTGTTCAGTTACTATTTACAAGTATAAAAGTTCAAATGTCCTATCTGATTACTTTGACATGGAAGACCAGCTCGTTGCCCCCAACGCTGAACTGTGACTCAAACAGAACTGTGAACTTCTCCTCCGTCACTGACTCCGCACCTCGGCGGTCCGAACGCTTGATCCGCTTCAGTGACTTCAGTGACACACACACAGCAAAGACATGAAGAAGTGAGAAAAGATTAGAGACACATTCCTTCATGAAACAAATGAGTATCTGCATCTTAAATATCTGGAGACTGTCAGGCAGGCGTCTCTGATAGTGCTTGATTTGGTGACACAGACTTGCTTGTTTGACAGACAGAGGAATAAGATATATCAGGCTTTAGATGCACACACAATACTTGTTAGAGGGATTAGTTTATTGGTTTTATAGAATCTGTTGATAATAAATATAAAATAAATAAATATAAAACATGTTGATTATAACAACATACAATTACACCAGCTTTATCCTTCATTCTCTCATTTTGTTAAATATAATATTTCAATTGCATTCTCTATGCTATTGAAATTTTCTTTAACAACTTAACAAAGATCAGTGAAGTCCTATAGATGATCCTGTCTGTGTTTTGGGACGACTGGCCCAGTGATTTCAGACGAGATAAGTATTAAATAGGATTTTTAGAAAATTGACCTTAGGCCAAGCCATTTTCGAGATAACGTAAAACTTGACTATTACAGCATCACCTGAAGGTCACTGAGTTTCATTATATGTGCCCAAGCAGGGCCTTATTTACAGCACCAACATCCAGAAGACTGGGCTCATACTTCTGGAGAAGCATGTGCACATAATTGCCAGTTTTTGGGCCAGTTTCGTGTTTCTAGCTCATTCCAGCTCGCGGCAATTTGAGTCATGGCATAAGACAAATAATCACTAGAATATTTGCATTTTCTAAAGAAAATTTGTGTGATTGCTGTATCTGCTTCTGCTCTACGGCTCACCAACATTGCTAAGGGCAATGAAGAAAATGTCCCATTTAGTTATTTCTTTTTTTGTTTGTTTTTATAAGATATTTTTTGTGCATTTATTCATCTTTATTGGAGACATAGGAAAGTGGATAGAAGAAGGAAACGAGGGCGAGAGAGACACAGATTTGAACCTGGGCCGCTTTATTAAGGCCTCAGCCTTGTACATGGGGAGCGTGCTCTACCGGATGAGCTAAACTGAGCCCCAGTTATTCCTTTCTTCGTATAAAAAAAAAAAAACTGTGTCAGTTTGTCTAACTGTGTTGCAAGCTGTGTTGTAAGAAACTGTGACTAGATAAATTATATACATTTTTAACAGCAGATCAGCTGCACAGATGAGCACAATGCACACCATCACACACAGTTATTTCTTACTGTATAGCATTACATCGTTACACATAGTTTTAACTTAAGCGAGGCTATAAAGAAAATACAGTTGTACTGGCGGGGATACAGTAGTGCATAGAAGCAGGTTCCATGTTTACCAAACATAGAGGCGTTTACTCACAGAATGCTTGTCTGTCTATCTATTCAAATGCGGAGCACAGTGAAACCATGCTGATCTAAGTAGGGTGATGTAGACCTTGACATGCACTTTTAGAGGTAATGGATTACGTCTAACTATTAAACACACCCCGATTCTTTGGTTGAGAAAGAATGTTAAGCAAAAACTTAAAACTGGCTGGAGTGGGGCTGTAACAATTAGAAGACAATTTCAGTATTAGGAACTGAACATTGTGTTCATGTGTGCATTAAGCGCAAACACCAAACGGGCATTGCCATCTTGCACCATTGACCAACACAAACTTGATTTTCCCACTGCAGAAACAGACCATGGTCCAAATCATCTGTCAAGGAGCCAGGAACTGTAGATGTCACAGTTCATGAAGCTCAAAAAGACATTTGTTTGTCATCCAGTTTTTGACATCAACTAGACTGCCGATGCAACACACATCAACAGTAGGCTTTATTGGAAGGTATAACTGTGTATCGTCCGCATAAAAATGAGATGAGAGACAGCAAATAATATTATCTAGAGGGAGCACATGTAGTGGAAATACAATAGGACCAACAAATTATCTTTGAGGCACTCCAAACCTAATTTCGGACATGGTGTTCATAACCAAATGATGTAAAAAACAATCCTACCATTACTACTTAAAAACTTCTATCCGGTGGTGGACATTTTAAAATACTTAGTAATGCATCTCGTTTACACTCCTAAAAAGATAACCAGTAGGACTTACCATGTTTCTAAAGTGTGCACTAAGGGTACCAGTGGCCTGGTGATACTCCATCACACAGTTGTTGTTGAGGATTTCTCCACTGCTTTCACTAGCAGTGAAAAAAAAAGCAGTTAAAAATGATAAACACATTCTCAGTGACCATGGCAGAAGACATCAACAAAGAAGAAGGGGTTTACACATTTAAACAGTCAAAATCTCACATAATAACTAAACCACCATTTTTGTTTAGTAACTGCCAAAGAACCAATTAATTGCCTTTTAAAATCCAATAGGTGCCTGCTATAATCCCCCATTATTTCAGCATTGTATCAGTCAAAGTTCCATAATGTGTTTTACCAAAGCATTTATGATAATCACAAGTCTGCATGCTGCCATGTGCCCCTCACCTGTGTGTGCTCTCATTCTTCAGCAGAGCTTTGGCCTGCTGCTCACTAACAATGACAGCCTTGACCTGAGGTGGGTTCATGTGGACGTTGAGCTTCCCGCCAACCAGAAGGCGCACTGTGGCTGCAAACTTGGTCTGGGTCTTTAGCACCTGGGGCGGCTGCTTTTCAATGATGAATGTACTGAACAGAAAAGGGGACAATGAAATGATGGTCAATGTTTGCCTGAATGTTATCCAAAGGCAGTGATATTGATGTCTGGAAATTAGCTAAGTGTATGGAAGAGACTGTCAACAACATAATCAGGGAGAAGGCACAATGCTGATGACATTCTACAGCCACAGAAAACGAGCTTTTTGCCATGTACACAGCTCTCACTCCAGTTATACAATGAGAAAAATGGCTTGCAGTATTGGCCCCTGCACTCTATACTCTCACAGCAAGCTCCACAAGACACCAGCAATAAGCTGTCTTCAAGTCCACAAAGCACACGTAGACTAGATTGGTAAAGATCTATGACCTCTAGCAGGACAGAATCTGTACTTCTCTTGAATCTTAGGCTCAGCACTTGTTTATTTCCAACTTTTGCGCTGAGCAGCTTCCACTCATTACAAATCGCTTCTTTTCTGAAAGGGCCTTTATGGAAGAACGTAGTCCTCTCAAGACCTTCAGTCACTGAACATTTAACACTAGGCCTACATTCTGTTGCCTCCTTTTTTCTGTTTTGAGAAAATGTTGCCAGGTGTAAAACACTAACATAACGTCAAGAGCTTATAGACTTCCAGGACTATACCAATTAACTGCAACTGAGTTATTTATAACACTGTCTGAGAGATGTTTCAATTTCTTTCTATTATTTTCACTAACACTTATACATGTGGATGAGAGTTGATGACAACAGTTAAGTTTATTCCCTCCTTAATAACAATTTCCCCTGGGAGATAAATGAAGTTAAAATTCCTCTTACATTAATAATACTTAATAATATAATTGTTAATGTAATTAAATATTAATAATCAACTACAGTCATTACTAGTTTTGTGAAATTAATTAATGCATAATAATCGTGATTATTCCTCTGACAATAATCGTACCAACAAAATCTGTAGTCGTTGCATCCCTAGGTTGAACACAGCAGTGTTTCCCCTAGGATTTCTTTTGGCGGGGGTAGTAGACCCCCCCAAAACTGCCAGTGTGACGGCGCGGCCGTGTTGCGGATATGTGGTGTTGTCCTAGATGTGGCACACAAATTTTGGCCAATTTAAGCTCGTCACATTCTCCATTCTTCTTCGACATTTTTAATGCTTAAGTTATTCCATCCTGATGGAGCTTGCTTTAGTTATGCTACATTCACATATTGGATGACCAGATCATTGATAAGGCCCTATGAAATCTGTTTTAATTTTTGCCACATTCCAGTTTATTTTTATCCAAATTAGGTGTTTTCCATAATTTATTGGGGGAATTCTGTGTTTTAAAATTTAAGCACATTTTGTCATAAGAAAGAGTCTGATTGAAATTTCAACAAGAAAATAAATTAAATGTATTGTGCAAATATGCATATAGAAATATTCAAATGTAATGCAATTATTTATGGGGACAGATCACAATGAATGTGTTGTTACAATACATGTATTGTGAATTGTTCCCCATCAAAAAGATTATTACATGCTGCTGAACACACAGCATTAGTGGGTCTGACTGAAGGCAAAGCTTGGCCGGACACAACTTTTAGATTTTTTCAAACAGAATTTCTAACTCCGTTTACTCACATCTTGCATCTATCAATGTGGCTGCACTTTGAAGTGAGCTCTTCCTAGCGCGCCGTCTTTGATATGAGGGCGTGTGTGTGTGTGTGTGTGTGTGTGTGTGTGTGTGTGTGTGTGTGTGTGTGTGTGTGTGTGTGTGTGTGAGAAACCATGGAGCCCCACACTCTTTATTCAGTCATTGTAGATATGGAACTACACTACAGACTTTGAAATTCTGTAGTCCTACATAATGTGTGTCTCCTATATGAAAAGGGTGAAAATTGTTAACATCTAGGTATGCAAGGTACTTGAGAAGGAAGGAATTGGACATTTGTATGAATAAGACATATGATAAGATATATGACGGGGTCACCATATCAGACACATCATCTTGGCTATGGAGTCCATAAAACAATCAGAATTGGTGAACAGGTACCACCATGTGAGAGGCCTACATCTACAGACAACCCATTCTCACTCACTCGTCACATATAGACACTTGGTCAAGACGTTGCTTTTGAATGCCCTGGGTTACAATAACTACATACATAAGTTAACACGTAAGTGAAGTAACGTTGCTTGTGTTACGCAATTTATGAAACCTACGTAGCTTTAAAAAAATAAACAATGTCGACTCTTTGTTTCACACGGGAAACAAACACTGGTCTTCTGGTTGATAGTTCGGGTTCTGGCCTTCCATCCACCTCAACCACCTCCTTACTCTGTCTTTTCTGTTACATATAGTATACCTACCTTTAACATCCAAAACTAACCAAACAGGGCTTTCCCCTATGCGTTCATCTATGACGCAATGGGGATCCCCTGTGTGTTACAAACGGACGACAACGGGTTTTGACCATGCGTCCATGTGTGACGAGTTGGGAGTGAGAACGGGTTGCTACTGATAACAGTTATCATTCCAGGTGTACAGGGGGTGGCTCATGGTAGCAGCCCTGGCAACCTCCCATAAGATACCCCAGGGGTCATATTTGCATGAGACTCATCCATTTCTACAAAGCACATGTTGACTGGATGGGCAAACTCACCAGAGTAAAGACGTAGTCACTGTTGCACAATCAAGACATAATATGCATTGCTTCTCCTGAATCAATCGGAGGAGTCTCCTTTTCAGAACTCGGCTTTTAAAAAGTGGGAACCAGCTCACTACAACACTAAAGGGTTAAATATAGTTGTTGGGACCACTGGAACCCACAGATGAATCTGTTCATTTCAACTAGCATTGGTCAGTGTTTCTATGACCTGTGAAATCACCAGGTCAAGAAAAGGGTCGGTTAGCTTTTGCTTCACTTCATTTTCTCCTGGACTCGTCTTTACTGCAGCTGCAACGGTCTCCCTCTCAGTGAAGTCTGCTTGGAGTAGACACACCGAATCTAACGCTCTTTCTTACTGCAGCGATGCAAGGGCCCACCTGAGATCCCAGTAGTAGAGTTTAGTTAAGTAAGTAAGTAAAGTCTACCAGCTAATTTTTCAAGATACAGGAGGAACGAAGCAAGTCAGAGCAGAACTGCTAAACTCTGAGGAAAACAAAGGACGGAGCAACCGGGTTCCTCTGACCTGCAAAGATCAGAACCACAATTTCTGCTCATCCACAATGGAATCGGCAGCTAACACAGCAGCATCAAAGCAACCCTTTTCCCTGAATGGACTGGTAAAGTAAAATAACTTGGCATAGAATAGCTTAAAAGTGCACACGGCTAAGCATAGGACGGTTTTATCTTCATCAGTGTAACTTACATGAATTGGTTTGTTTTTTTGGAGGTTTATTGTTGAGATGCGTTTGTGATTGTTAGAATGTGGCTACCAAATAACCTAAGTTCATTTTAACTATACTCAAAGTACTTGTTACATTAACATGAGGGGATGTGATGATCCCAGAGCCAGCACAACAGCTCCAGATAGCAATTTTCTCAACTCTCCTGTTACGGTAGCTGAATGTCTGTAGGAAAAACAGGTAACGTTGCCTGACACACAAATCACGGCTGGAGTAGTGTTGTGTGGCTCGTTCATACAACAGACTTCTCTCTTTGGTATGAACTCCTTGTTTTTTCTTCTGAGTCCTCATTTTCAGTATTACCAATTTCTGAGTAAACTTTGCTCTCCTCTATGTTTGTATATTCTGAAAGCAAATTTCTTCTCTGCAACACCGGCAAGTGTGGAAGAATTTACAACGGTGACGTGAGTTTTAAGGTGGATATTAGTTTTATGTTGGAGATTAGTTTTAAGTTAGATATTTGACAGATGTCGATGAAATATCTAACTTAAAAAACATATCTAATTAGCGATGCAAAGCATCAGCCACTTGTGAAAATATTACCATAAAGTGTGGAATATTGTCATATCAAACAGCCCTATCGCTCAAATACACATACGTGCAAACACACACTCACACTTTCTTTGCCTATAGTTGTTTCAGCATATTGTTGCACTTGTGGTATCATTTGGTACACTGATAAACACATTTAGTAGCTTTTGAATATACACGCCGGCCTGTTTACACAAGAGTGAATGCTGCCAATCTCTATGTCCAAATCCTTTAACTTACTAGCTTTTGATGGTAGTTTGGATTGTAAAATTAATAGTCTGATAAGACTGAATCAATTATTTTGTTGTTTCCCTTCTTTAAGGGTGGTGCACCTGAGGAACTTTAAATATTGAACAAAGTTTTTTTTTTTTTTTTTTTAATTATCTTTGGTAATTCTGTAATTCTGCTAAAACTTATTGATTGCACCCTCCCAATTTCATGCCCCTCTAAAACATTTTAAAGGTGGGGTCAGCAATTCAAATCCAGCACGTCTTTTTGTCAAATTCAGTCAATATCTCCTCACAGTCCGCTATCTGTACCCCGCCACACAACACTATTCCAGCCCTTCCAGCCATGATTTGTGTGTCAGTAACGTTAAATGACTTGCTCATGGACATTCAGGTAACTTTCTAGTTCAGCAAGACATGCTGTTGTTGTGGTGTTAGCTATAGTAGCAGGACAGTTGTGAGTGTCGTTGTGTGTTGTTGATTGCTCTGTATCATGGTGTTGGATTTCTATAGAATCACATACCCTACCTTTAATCCCAAACATAGTTCTCACCTGGTAACCAGGGCGGAGATGATATCAGTGATGTCAGCGTTGAGTTTGCTTAGCAGCTCTTCCATGGGGCCCGGCAGAGGAAGCTGCTGGGTTAGATGTTCACAGCGCCGGATCTGCTGCCGGTTCTGCCAGATCATATCAGCCAGCTTTTCACACCTGGTGGACAGGGAGAGGAGGTTGAGATACCACCACAATGTGGAAATCAAGGAGAAAGAGAAGAAAATGACAATGGGTTCCTCTATGCAAGTATATTATGCATTAATTTATTTATTTTTTTTCTCCATGTCTATGTATTTTATAGATATGTGAATTATAATGTTTTATCAAAGAGAACACCTTTTCTGAATAAAAAATATTCGACAAACTTTTTTTATCTCACAAAAAGGTCATGTTTGAGGTAGGTCAAACTATTTAAGAAAATCGCAACCCTATAATATATTATGCCAGTTAAAATAATTACTAAGTCAAGTATATACCAGGACTGGAGAACATCCAGTCCCCCCTCATGAGGACCCCCGTTGCCCGCCAGCTGCTGCCTCCTCTTCCACAGGATGAGCTCCTCATCGAGGATCATTGTCTGCTGCTTTCTCAACATGGCCAGGGTCTTCTGGTGTTGTTCTGACAGGTCCTACCAACACACCACCAGCCATTTACAGAGAATCATTTGCATATGTAACCGAGCATGTTAACAATCAATCAAGAGCAAAGGATAAGCGAATAGAAAGTGAAGTGAGTAGCCAAAAAGTGAAATGGTTTCTACTGCATAGTTCAACAACTTGGGCCCCTAAACTACCAAGTTGTCTTGGAGGATACCGGTCAGGACATAAGAGCTGTGCATGTCTGCAACCTTAAACCTTTCTACCCTAGTGCTGAGTACGGACAAAGAAAATACTAGTTCATTAACATCAACACCCACAATGAAGAAATGTCACTTTGCTACAATGTAAAGTAGTGAGTGTACAGCTTGTATAACAGTGTAAATCTGCTGTCCCCTCAAAATAACCACAATAACCCTCTTGGGCATGGAGTTCACCAGAGCTTCATAGGTTGCCACTAGGGTCCTCTTCCACTCCCCCATGATGACATCAAGGAGCTGGTGGATGTTAGAGACCTTGCACTCCTCCACCTTCCGTTTGAGGATGCCCCACAGATGCTCTATAGGGTTTAGGTCTGGAGACAAGCTTGGCCAGTCCATCACCTTTACCCTCAGCTTCTTTAGCAACGCAGTGGTCGTCCTGGAGGTGTGTTTGGGGTCATGATCATGTTGGAATACTGCCCTGCAGCCCGGTCTCCATAGAGAGGGGATCATGCTCTGCTTCAGTATGTCACAGTACATGTTGGCACTCATGGTTCCCTCAATGAACTGTAGCTCCCCAGTGCCAGCAGCACTCATGCAGCCCCAGACCATGATGCTCCCACCAACATGCTTGACTGTAGACACACTTGTCTTTGTCTTCACCTGGTTGTCGCCACACACGCTTGACACCATCTGAACCAAGTAAGTTTATCTTGGTCTCATCAGACTACAGGACATGGTTCCAGTGATCCATGACTTTAGTCTGTTTGTCTTCAGCAAACAGACCAATTTGATGTGTGTCGTATGGTTGAACCGCTTTTTGGTCTTGGCCACCGTGCTGCAGCTCAGTTTCAGGGTCTTGGCAATCTTCTTATAGCCTAGGCCATCTTTATATAGAGCAACCATTCTTTTTGTCAGATCCTCAGGGAGGTCTTTGCCATGTTGACCTTCCAGTGACCATTATGAGGGAGTGTAAGAGTGATGGCACCAAATTTAACACACCTGCTCCCCATTCACACCTGAGACCTTTTAACACTAAAGAGCCACATAACACTGAGGAGGGAAAATGGCTAATTGGGCCCCAATGTGGACATTTTCACTAAGGGGTGTACTCACTGTTGTTCCCAGCGGTTTAGACGTTAATGGCTATGTGATGTGTTATTTTGAGGGGACAGCAAATTTACACTGTTATACAAGCTGTACACTCACTACTTTGTACTACTAAGTGTCATTTCTTCAGTGTTGTCAAATGAAAAGATAGAATCAAATATTTATAAATGTGTGGGTGTACTCACTTTCGTAAAATACTGTTTATATAGTGTCTATGTTGTATTCCCTCGTCAGCCTGTGTCATTGCATAACTACAGTGTGTGTGTGTTGGTGGTAATTTTTTCAGTATTTTTTAAATTTTATTTAGTCTTATGCCACTCACATCATGTTGTATGTGAAACCAGCATTAGTCCTGTGCCAAATACCCTTGTTAGTTTTTATCATTATTTTAATCAAGTTTTAGTTGATCAACACTTGGACCTGTCAGAATTGAGGCCCTGTTTCTACTGTCCTCCTTGCTTTAGTTAATGCGGATTACCATTACCGGGAATAGCGACAGAGGCATATTTGAAGATTGTGTGATGGGACAGAACCATAGCTTGGAACACTGAATGTTCCACATTCAATTGAGCTCCTGTCTGCACCTGAATTGAGGAAGATCAATTATGTTATCATGGAAGATGAGGCCTTCTTCATGAAGCCATACCCTCTCTACGCATCTTGAAGAGGACAAGTGCATCTTGTCAAGAGCGTGTTGCATATCAGAACATGTGTTCCACATTCAGACCCAACGTCCGTTTCAGAGTTTATAAAAGTCCAAAGAAGGTGAACTCAGATCTGGCAGACAGCATCATAAGAGCAACTTGCATATTATACGTGATCAAGGAGAAGGCCAATACCAGCACAGCATGAGATGTACAGCCAGCATCAGATACAAGCAGCTCAGACTCTAACGGAACAGTTGCTGCTCCACCAAATGACCCAGCAGATTGGCTCAGTCCTCACAGACTTTATGAGGAGTAAATTAGTGCACATAGGTCCATTCAAACCAGCACTGGATTTTTCTTACCCTAAAGACAGGTCCAGAAAAGGTTTCCATTTAGGTTTATTACAGAGACTGTTTTAAAGGAGGGAGCACTAAGGTGTGTTGTTTACATGATTGACACAACATGAGGATGTTTCTAATTTTTAAACGTGTGAAAATTTCAGACAAATATGAACAATATGGTTTATGATGTTAATGTGGCATGTCTTCATACAAGCCTGTATTTCTGTAGTGTGCTGGCCTCTCTGGTGAGCCAGGCCTCCACAGTGGCCCTCTTGCTCTGTAGGGTTGTCTCCCGCTGGGTGCGCTCGGCTGCAGGCAGTGAAGACAGGCTGCTCAGCTGGGCTACAGCAGGGAGGAAGAGAACGCAGAGCATTACAACCACACCAGTTATCAGAATAAAGCTGTTCACTTTTGTGTAAAGAAGGTAACTTTGGTAACTGTTAACTAGCCCTTGCAGGTCTGTTTCTACTAAGATATGTGTGATGGCCAGTGGGTTCTGTGCTGGTTAAGGTTACAGGTGTACATTCAGTATTACTGTTCAGTGGAAGCTATTTTTGGACTGGGAGTTCTATTTTAAATCAGCAGGATGCAAAAATGTTTTGTGCATGTCTTAATGTTTGTGTTTGTTTGTTTGGTGTGTGTGGTGTGTGTGGTGTGTGTGTGTGTGTGTGTGTGTGTGTGTGTGTGTCACCCTGGATGCGTAGATTCTCCTGGTACTGGATGATGAAGTACTCCTGGCTGTGCTGCAGCTTTCTCAGTTCATTCTCAGTCTCCTGTGTGGCCAGGCGAAGCTCCTCAAAGGCCTGGTTGATCTGCTGGTGGCGTTGTGACAAGCTGTCCATGGCCTGCCCGCCACTCCCAGAGCTGGCCTACACACAGAACATATAAAAAGGTCCAGATGTTGCTTTCTTCAGTTTGGTTCATAAACATCAAAAATCTCTTCGACACTTACATTTGTAGCTTCTTGAACCAGCCTCTGCTCTGAGTGCAGGATGTGTTTTATGCAACGCACCAGCTCTAAAGGGCAGCGGTCATAAGTGCTCTGCAGAGATAACACAAAACAAACATACATAATTACACACACCAATCATTATTAAGGTCAAGTAGTTAAACTCAATACCATACCAACATTTTAGCCAATATTAGAGCGCAGGTACAAGGTAGAGGCAACAGCAAGACAACCACCAAAAAGGGAATGGTTTTGCAGGTGGTGGCCACAGACAATTGCTCTCTCCTAATCTGGCCTGATTGATTTCTCTCTAGTTTTGCGTTTTGCTAGTGTCCTTGTCACACATGCTGTTCCTTTATGCGAGGAGGAACAGGAAGAGTACTGCCACAGCCCTACAAAATAACCTCCAGCGGGCCACTAGTGTGCATGTTTCTGACCAAACTGTCAGTGGCAGGCTCCAGGATGGTGGATGGAGGGCCTGATGCTCTCTAGTGGGATCTGTGCTCACAGCCCAGCGCCATGCAATTAGCATGCATGCATGACTCATAAGAGTCTATAGCATGCATCAGTTACTGTCATTTCTATAAAATTGTTGACTCATAAAATAATCACATTGTAAGCAATTAAAACATTTGCAATAATCAACCTTTCTGCTTCATATTAAAAGAATGTGACCAATATTTTATTGTTTCACAATGATCTACATTCCACACATTGTTTATACATACATGTCAGGACCAGTTCTTAGATTACTTAGTAGCAAAAACATGCATTTGCCTGTTTCATTTCAAATTCTTGGAGAGTAGCTGGGCACTAATGAAAGGTGTTCAAGCCTACGGTTGCATCAGTGTTGATGTTTAGCTACAGTAGTACATTGTGGAAGTAAGCATTGATCTAGTTACCAGGTTGCATGTTGAAACTTGATGTTCTGTCAGCTATACACTTTGTGCACAATTATTAAGCAAGTAAGTACTCTGTATGAACAATTACCTCTATGCATATTTTCCAACTCCAAACCATATACATTAGAATGCTCATTGGAGTTAATCATTTCAAGCGATATGTATTTGTGTAATGAGGGAGGGTGTGGCGAAAGTTAATGACACAAAGTGTGCATGATTATTAGGCAGCTTCATAACTTAAAAATGGGGGGGGGGAGAAGAGATTTAAATGACATTGAAAAGTCAAATTGTAAAAATACCATTTAGACGGATGCACTCTTTAAATAGCTAATCCTTTGAGGCGTGTCCACTGGACAATCAAACATTGTATTGCGAGTAGTCAACTGTAGTGCAAAAAGCTCACGGAGAAGAAAAGGCACAAATGAACTTGATGAAGTTGAAGATGAAGATGAGGAGCCAAGAAGGCTGAAAAACAACCACACAAGTTGAAGCGTCAAGATTGGGCAAAGAAATACTTAAAGACAGATTTTTTTATGGACAGATGAAATGAGAGTGACTCTTGATGGATGTGCAGAGTAATATTGATAAAGCTGGTCTGATCAATCAAATCCACCCATGTGTTCGTCGTACTCAGTAACTGCTGTGGGACAGGCTTGATGTCTTTGGCCATCTTGTTGTTTCACCCGCTTCCGCACAACTTTACCAGTGTGAAGTGTGGGGTAGGGTTGGGCCGATAGACGATGCCATTGGCCATCGGCGATGGCTGACAGACATCACAATGTTGAGTCGGCAACGTAATTTTTTGATTGTACTTCAACTGATCTCCAAATGGACCCTGATTACTTTGATAATCCTCTTCATCCTGAGAATCAAATCCATTAGGTTCTGAAACCCCTCCCTAATACTCCTCACTACTCTACAAAAGTGCTACAGGAACTTCGCTAACAGCATACTTCCGCGCTATTTTCTCTACTTGTCGTCTTGTTCTTCTTTTTCAATATTTTTTTGCGGACTTTCCTTAAACTGCAGTGTTTCTCTGCAGTTTAAGGGGATGGGTAGGTCTGTGATTTCCTGTGATGTCCATTGGTTAGCAAACACACAAACCCACCAATTACAGTGATAGAGGAGGGCTCTTCTCTTCCTCCATGCTCGCTGTGTGAGTCACATTCAATCTTGCAAGAATAAAGACTCATAAGAGTCTATAGATTTTGACAATATCTGAACCACATTTCTGTGCTATATTGTCACAGAGATATTAATAGAAAAATCGAGTAAGCGTTGCAGCTTGTTTTGTGTTGTATTGTATTTCAAGTTTCCCATTTGGCTAAATGAAATGAATGAACTCCCTCATCTTACAGAGATGACTGGTACCTTGAGCTGGTTGGCGTAGTGGCCAAGCTTTATCTTGAGCAGAAATCCATCCTCTCCTCCCTGAAGCTGGGCTTTCCTCTGCAGCTCAGCCACCAGGTTGTCCAGCAGACGCTTGGCTTTGGCCTCCTCCGCTGGGTTGTCCAACTCCACTGAATCCCTGTGAAATGATTTTAGATTTTTAAACAATCTAAAGTAGGGCTGAAACAATTCATAGATTAAATCAATTACTAAAATGCTTTGTTTAATCCATATAACTTTATAGCACACTGTTTCACACGGACATTTATTACTGTCGCACATCGCCCTTACACTGTGAACACGATGTGATTTGATGTTGATGATGCTGCAAATTGGAGGAAGAGAGAAAATAGTGAGGGACGAAGAATAAAGTGTCCAAAGTATGGGATTATTTCAAGTTAAAAGAAAACCACTGTAATGTCAGTCTGTCCACCGTAAAACAAAACTTATGTCTCCTACCAACAGCACGACGGCACCTGACCAGGTGATGAATTGTTGAAATAATCGAGTGACAGATAGAAATATTTGGCTAGCTTAGGACTAAATAATGTACAGAAAGCTAATCAACTTTGTCTCTAAAATATCTGATAAATAAGACCTCACGCATTACAGGATGTTATGATAATAAACTTTACTTGACTGACTGACTTCCTGCTTTGTTACAGTGCAGACGCTTTTTGCTCCCTCTTCCGCTGGCATACTTTTGCTGATATTCTTGTTTTTTCTGTTAGAAATTATGGTTGTAAATCATTGCGACTGTAATTTATTCGGATAAAGAATGTTATCACATTGGAATAACAATACTACTTTAGCATGGACTCAAAACAGTAGACAAGAGCCTGCTAACACACCGTTAAGAGTAAATCATTCCTCTGGGAAATGGGAGGAAGATTACCAAGCAGATCGCAGTGTCCTGAGATCTTTGATGCAACTGGCTGGCCTCATCATCCAGCCAGAGTGCCTCTTGACTGTTGTTAGTAGGACACAGCCGTGGACAGCACCAACGGGGGCAACAAACTTCCCCAACTACCAGGTTTTCTGGGACCACAGACATCTTTTTAGGGCAGATTGACTTTGCCTTAACAAGTCAGTGGTAAAACTGCCTCTAAGCTAATCTCTAACCAATTTTACTTTCTGCTTCACACATCTGTTCCCTCTGCCAAGGACAAGAGGAATCAAAACACGAAGACATAACACAGTGAGGCAGAAAGCTTGAAGGAGAACCACCTCAGCCTGAATAAAGAGAGCTTTGATCATGGGAGACATCAGAGCCCAGAGGTCTTCTCCCATCTCACCAACAACCACCTGTGGGGAGTCACCTTCTTCAACACCCCAAACCCCATCCAAATCACCCTTCTCCCCCCTCTTGGGAGTTCAATGACCACCCAAAAGTGCTGGTCACTGCTGAAACCAAACTTACCCCGCCCTACTCCATTTTCTCTCCCCTAAACTTCCACCACTGGCATCCCCCCCGAAGATGATGTCAAAATCATTCTCTTATTCACTATTGGCTCATGACTATTCCCAGGACAAGCTGGGGCCCAGTGTGCCAGCAGTTTTCAAAATTCCTGTCTTGGTAGGTCATAGAAAAAGAAAGTTGAATCTGCTAAAAACAGGAAGCACTTAACAGATTCTGCAAATTTAGAAAATCCAGTATCTACTCCTCGTCAGCCATAGCCTGCCACAAAACAATTGGGCAGATAATGCTTTTAAATCAATAAATGTAACCTATTTAAATGTCAGGTCTTTGGCAGGAAAAACATTTTAAAAATCGATGAATTTGTCATCGAACACATCTTAATTTCATGCTTGTTACTGAAACTTGGTTAGACCAAGATAACAGAGCAGCTTAAACTGCGGATTGATTTGTGGAATTTGACAAAAAAGCTATTAACAGTAAAACGTGGAATATCATGTAATCTGCCAAAATGTTGACGCAATTTATAAAAATTAGGAGTTTCTCAGCATTATAAGCATATTGCCCACAACACTTAAGGCAAAACCATGCTTTTATGTTATGGTGTTTGCAAGCTGCCTCTGTCCTCTCTATCAGACAGTTATTTGAAAAGTAATCAAAACCAAAATTCAGAGCCTCTAACTGACGTAAATTTTCCCATGCAGATTATTTCTGTTATTTAATCCTGATAATATTGTGTGGGTTCATCTACTTTCCCCATGAAACACCGCGTATAGTCACATGACTCCGAACCGTCCAGTCCTGCTCAGCCTTCAGCAGTGTGCCACTGTGCTACCAGTTTCTACTGTTGTTAGCTTCAGAGGGCACCCAGTTACTTTATTCCAGCTATCGTTGTACTTTATACTGTGAACAAACATTTTTAAAGTAGTTGTCATGCTGGCAGACCTGACAAAATATCAATTTATTTGCTTAACAAATCTGCATAATTTTGAGTCCTTTATTGCAATTAAACACAGCAAAATGTTAAAAAAAAACAGCTGCAGTAATGGCAGGTTGTGTTTACTGGCATTACTGCATTGTGTCTGAACACTCTGAAGTAGTCCAGTGATAAAACCCACATAAGGAAAGCGACACGTGGAAATACCGGCATGCCAGCTGTGGCTTTTCACTTTTTCACGTTCCTCTTGGCAGATCAACTCAATCCCCCTTTCGGCTCCGTAACGTTACCTTTCAGACACGAGGCAAGCTGCATATTGCAACAATCCTCCCGGAAAATAAGGCAGTGTGAAAGTGGCCATTTGCTTTAGGTTGTACTAATCAATGCTCGTTCCATGATAATGTTACACTGACTGCGTTTAGTTGATGTGATCTGTGGGATCTGATGTGTTGGTCTGATTTCTTGCAGGCTAAAATCAACACTGACATACCGGTGGTACACAGGATTATAATATGGGTGCATTAGTTGGTGAAGTATTGTGGAAAGCCATAACATTACAACTGTAGTAGGCTATACTATAGTAATCATCTGTTTCTTGTTTGGCCTGATGGGCTTCAGCACATAAAACTTTGTGGTTGGTTTTTATCCTTACGTGGAGTTTATGTTGGAGTCTGTGTTGCGCTGGGAGCCAGGTGGTGGTTTTGTGGTGATCAAATCAAGAATGAATGCCAAAGCCTGGGAACCAGACAAATCTCAAGCAAGCTCATGTTTTATGTGCAATTCTGCATTCAGCATTCTGTGATGTTATAACATAACAAATGTTAGGGATAATCTTTGTTTATGTTATGTATTTCTTTAAAGAAAGGGAAAGAGAGAAAATTGTTCAAAATATCAGCACATCAGATTTAAAAATGCTTAAATATCGAAATCAATCTTAAAAATCCCATATCGGTCGGGCCCTACTTTACTTTGGCTTGCTGTCTGTCAAGGGAACTGATTTAAAACATGGCTGTTGGTTTATAAAGCACTGAATAGTTTAGGGCCAAAATAAATCTGTGATCTTCTGCTATGTTATGAACGATCCAGACCTCTCAGGTGGTCTGGGAAAGGTCTGCTTTCTGTCCTAAGAGTGAAAACTAAACCTGGAAGCAGCATTCAGTTTTTATGCTCCATATATCTTGAACAAACTCCCAGAAATCAGCGGCTATGCTGAAAGTCTCTGTTCTTTTAAATCAAGGCTGAAGAATTTTTTTGCCGCTGCCTTTTATTAAATCAAATCTGAGGCTTTGCACTGCAACTTCTACTCTTCTATTTTACTCTTTTTTCATTGTATTGCAGAGGTGTGGACTTGAGTCACATGACTTGGACTCGAGTCACAAAAAACGATTACTTTAGACTCGACAAAATCAAAGAAGACTTGTGACTTCACTTGGACTTGAGACTTCTGAATGGAGCTGACTTGACACCCTCCCTCCCCAAATATAAATTATGATATAGAAGAAGAAAGAAAAAAAAAAAAAAAAAAAAAAAAAAAAGTGCAGCGCATCAACACAGCGTTGAGCAGTTAATTAAATTTTAATCTCAATTACAACTTTGGCTTCCACCGATTATAAAAACTAGTTCGTTAAGATAAAACGATAATTGTGCCGCAAGCCGTTTCACAATGACACTCATTTTGTCTAAAATCCAGCGCCCCCCTTTCCTTTACAGTCGAGGCTCTCATCCCTCCATAAAAGCCCAAACTCCCTCTCAGCAGTTGTGATGTTTAGTTCAGCTTGAGACAACATAATGGGGTTGTAACTGCTTTAATTTCCTATTCAACCTTGCTTAAGACTATGGCATTTGTTTACACTGCCCTGTAGGCCAAAGGATAAGTGTGTATAGTAAATGGATGAATGGATAGGCTAGTTATTCTAAACCAGGTGTGTTCAGTGTTGCTTTACCTGGTCGGTGCTTGTAAAATATCCACTGTGTCTGTGTCTTCTAACGTCAAACCGATATATAGTTTTCTCACAGTTGGTTTAGGTCACGGCATCCCGACAAAACACCATGCTTTTATTTCAATGTTCTGTAATGTAACTTTGTCAACTCGAGAAGTTCACCCGTTACCTGCTCTGCTCCACTCCGTGTACACGCACACACACAGCAAAACTGCGCTGCTGTCGTCCTCAGTTGCATTACTATTTCTTATTTCATGGGCTATTAGGGATTTTGGTATAACGCATTTAATATTTTTTTTAAAGAGTATTACATTTTAAAGGTTCAAGAAATGAAAGATGTGTCCCAAGAAAGTCAGTGATCCTGTTAAATAACTGATCTCAGTATTGACCAAAATAATTGTGATTATGAGGGTTTGAAAAAAGATTTTACTTTATTTTACACATGTATATTTGTTGAAGAAAGATTTTATGTTGAAATAGAATGTTCTAAAAATTTTAAGTGATCCACTGTTTGGCATGTTCTGACCATAAAGAATAGTGTAACCACAATTAACCATCTGGTTTCTTCAACTTTCATTCAGGAGAATTAAGCCTTGAAACTTGAAAGAAATAACTGGACTTGACATTTTTGGACAGGGATCGTTTTCATTTTAAAACTCTGTTTTTAAACAAAAACGTTGTTCTGTGGATGTAGCCTAAAGGTCTGCGTTGCCTACTCTTGTAAAAACACTACACGTTGTTGTGCTGCTTTATGTGTTGTGTGTCTGCAGAATCTGTTTGCCCACTGCACATGATAACACGATACATAGTTTAGTAACCCAACCAACATATCTAGTCATGGAATTGCTTGTAAAAGAACAGGAGAACCCCTAGAGACTCCTACACAAGACTCCTCTGTTTTATGTAAATTGTGCATGGGGTCATACTTTAAAACTTTGAATGCACATTTGATATGTTTTTTACATGTTTACATAAGACATTGGCTGTCATGATGTTAATGCAAAGAAAAGTTGCATTACCTTTTAAATGCGGTATAGGTTTTTAGACCCTGACAGGAATAATATTCAGGGGCAATCATTCAAGATAGATAGATAGATAGATAGATAGATAAAAAAAAAAAGATTATATTACATTATGTCATAAAGAAAATTTAACGACAAAAAAACAAAAAACAGGCAGCTTCTGTCCAAAGGGATTGATAACACCATTGAAAAATAGCAATATCAACTGCATACCAGAGCTGGCTCTCAATCCACTGGGCCAGGTAGTGTCGCACCTCAATGGGAAAATGCTGACCATACAGTGCCTGCATCTGGTGCAACGCCTCACCCTGCAGCTGCTGGGCCTGGATCCACATTGCCATGGTGCTCCTGTGGAAGCAGGAGAATGGCAGGAGAAGATATGGAGAGAAATTATACTCAAAATGGTCACATGTATTACATGATCTACAAATTAAAAATGCGATTTACAAATTTGTGTTCTAATACACAGGCAAATGCAAAGTAATTTTAACACAGTTTTACAAATGCACTTCATAAGCTGAATAAATATTATTATTTTAACTTTAACTTCTGTGACACTCACCATTGTATTCTGTATAAGAAAACTGGTTGGACCTCTCACAAAGCCCTTATTGGACCACCCTATATTTCATCTATGGAATGGACTGCGGGACAGTACCAAACTCGCTCTAACCGTCTTAAGCTTCAAATCCCACAGTTTATTCTGAACTTGGAAAATCTGTCTTTAGTTTTTTTGTACCAAAAACATGCAATTATCTAAATAAGATTCTGAAGATTGACACTATCACTACCCCTTTACAATTTAAGACCATGATCTCAAACCACTTCAAGTCTCCAATTGTTTTCACTGAGAATTTCTAACTGTGTATTTGTCTATACGTCAACATCATTACAAATGAGGGAAACCTCAATGATTCTTGAGGATTAAATAAAGGGTAGAATTAAATTCCCAGATCTGTACCTTAAGCCACTGCTGTTTTGAACACTAATGTGGAGGCGTGGCTGCAGTAGGATAACAGACTGCCAGCAGACCTGGGACCAGCTGACCACCTGCTTCTTAACAAATCATGACTGCATAAAATATTAAATAAATTAAAGTATTGGGATGAATGTATTCAAAGGGAGTAAAAGTAATGATTTTTCTCCAAAATTCTACTCAAGTAAGAGTAAAAAGTATGATGTATTAAAAATGTTGGACTCGTGACTACCCACTAACAGACTTAAGGACATTTCCAGAGAAGTGATGTTCAATAACAACAGAATTCAATAAATAATATAGAATTTATAAGGGGGTTCCACCTCAGTACTAGCATATTTTTGTCAACTTTAAGACTTGAAAGTAGAATAAGTGTAGATTAAAGCTGAGACTACTTAAGGAATTGCTTGGTGACATGTGTGACTATTTAGCCAAACAAATGTTTAAAACAACATGACAAACTATGCCATTTAGCCGAGAAAACTCATTACAAGAGGAGAATAATAGTAACGTCAGTCCACTTATTAGGCTACAAAGTCCTCTGTCTAAGCTGAAAGCGGAACGTTTCAGTCTGCAGCATGGAAGCTTGCTCTCCCAACAAGTTTGAGAGATAGCTTAAGTTAGCTTGTTAACTTTACTGTTCATTGAGATTGACTCGTTGGCAGGACATTATAATGTTATGTAGCAAACTTGCAAATGGCTATCTCTGTGTATTGCTGAACACACACTGAGTGGGAAAACAGTGAATTTACATTAAGTGAGTTACTTTAGTGGTACAAGGCACCTTCACGTTAGCTAGCTATCGAAGGGAAGCTATTCGACTAGCTAGCATAGTAGAAAAGCCCACTCAAACACTACAGCGCTCGACCAAAACTATACTTTCATGCGCCACAAGTGGTTAACAGCTAACGTTAACTGTAACGGCTTCAACTCACCTTTCAAGAGACTGCAGCAGAGCTTATAGCAACACCATAGACGAGCAGCGGACAGCACACATGCACTTTCAAACCCAATACAGGTTAGTTGGTGTACATATCACATCGCCAACTTCTTACTGCCTTCTGGTTTCTGGCAAAGCAGCTGTTGTTGACCAGCATCAAGCCAGAACTGAATATTTCACACAGCTTCCGATTTTAAATTCCAAAATAAAACAGTTGTTAAACCACATTGATATTTCTAATATCAGTTTATTCACCGATTATTATGTTGTTGTAGTTTACTCTGTATATAATATACTACATACATGTTTTAATGGACAATTGTGGGTGTTATTAAATTTAGATTTTCGTTTGAGTACAGAAACCCTCCATTTCCGGTCGTATTTACACTTCAGAACAGACGGCGTCTGACAGCTTGGTACGCATTCCATCCGTTTTGCGGCAAGTCCCGCCCTCCACTGTTGTGATTGGCTAGTAGCCTGCTTGATTCAGCTGAATGACTTTCTTTGAGAAATTTTTGGGATAGAAGTACTGGTAAATGGAATGGAATGTCTTCACTATTATCAAATGCATGTTTGTCTAGTTGAGCATTTTTTACCTCCCTTTCTATGGGCACAGGTACACACTGGCAAACTGATGCAAGCCTAATGTGGGCTGATTACATTTGGCAGAGGCCAAGACCAAGTGGAATCTGAAACAAGACTCTGGGGTTCATTCCAGAAGGAGACATGACAAAGAAAATGCCTGAGACAAAGGTATGGAAACATGGAAATGGAAATAGATTCACAACTAAATTCATTACACAAAGTAAATCACAGTTTGAGAGCAAAGCTGCACAAAAAAACACATTAATATTTCTAATATCAGTTTATTTATTATTTCTGATTATTAAATATAGTGCTATTATGTAGTGTAGGTGAAATAATACATACATACATACACTCTGTAGATATAGGTATTTAAAATATATTGATCTTATTATTACATTATTGTGTGGTAAAAATAACACTTGTATCTTTTGTCTTACTCTCTATATAATAAATATGATGTGATGTATTTCCAATTGTTGTGTCCTATGGCTGATTATAATTCCAGTGTCCACTGAATATGAATACATATTCAGTATTCACTATCAGTATTACGTTGCCTTCAATTCTAACCAGTGACCTTTAAGACTGGGCACCTGTTTCTTACTGGCATCACTTTGAGACATGTATATAATGTGGTCCTTGTGGTAATAAAGATCTATGATTTATCAAAATATTTCACAATGACAAAGAATAAAAATCCATTGTGAGAACAAAAGCCCTGCATAATTGTAGCAATGTTTCAATGTGACATTCAGCTTGTTAAACTTGAATCTGTTGATAAAGTTAATAACAATAACCAGACTATCTCAGATCTACTGTATATACACTTTGTAATCAACAGGCTTCTTTGTGCTTTCACGTTTTCTGCTAACATTCAATAAAAATACACAGAAACTGCAAACCAAATTGTTTTTATTAATTAAATCATTAGTGGTTAAGCAATTAAACATTTTTCAGGAATCAGTTACCAACAAAACAAAAGCAAGGAAACAGTTAGGTGTGAACTACATTTTATGTTCCACTGACACAGGCCTCTGCAGAGCTGCATGTTGTTACTGCTCCTACTGCTCACAGACATGGCACTGTTAATCCCCTTTGAATGGGTGAGCACGAAACCACTGAGAGAATATTTTATCTTTGCTTACATGTAAGAGTGCCAATGTCATTTGATGCATTGTGAAAGCTGCGCTAAGATCATAATGATTTGGCCCGAGAAGCTAAATGCAGAAGAAGTGCAGGCAGCAGGAGACAAGAGACTCTCAGGAAAATCAAATCAAAATGCTTTCTGAGCTGCATTGGCAGTAATTCACATTATATACAAAAAATGTAACACAAACAAAACTGTGACGTGTTTGATCTAGAAACTAAACTTTTACAGTACAAATACTGTGGCAATGTGGTCAACTTTGGCAATAGTTCTAAAAAACTTTATTTTCACAAATGTATCTTGTGTCTGTCACTCTGTTAGCCCTTTGATATACTGCTGACCTGTCCAGGATGTTGGCCCCTCAGTCCAAAGTATGCTGTGAGATCTTCTAAACACCACTATCCTGACCAGGATTAGTTGTTATTTTGGAAAATGCTTAGGTGGATGGAAGTTTTCTTGAAAATGCTAGAAAAATAAGAACGTAACACATTAATTCTTGAATTAATACTCGCAAGGCACTCATGAAATACCACCAATAGTGGTGAATAAATGAAACACATTTATATATCTTGTTCCAAGCAAACAAATGTGGACAATAGTGTAAACCTATGTGGAGATATTTGAGTGAAATTGTCATTTGTTGCAGATCTGGTGAAATACACCTTTAATCTGGAGCAGAGAATATTACAGCGAGATGACTGAACACTAGGGGTCAGTGTCAGACCGCAGCAGTAACACACCCTTATTTTGAAACATAGTCCTGAGAATACAGTGTTGACAAGAGCCTAAACTGGTTCTCCCAGAGGTTTGTGAGACTTGCTGAAAGTATTGGTCCTTATCTAAGTTTATTTATGAAACACATCTTCACACAAAACACTTTTTAAGAAGAACATTCTCATGAGCAAAAGATCAAAGTGAATACCATTGGTGAGTGAAATGTAAAGGACTAAGCTGAATGGAATGATCTCTCTCTTATGCTTTTCAGACCTTCATTTTCATGGGTACCAGTTGTTCTTTGGGAACACTGGCAATAAAATGTTACACACAAGGGTACTGCATGAAACAAGGTGTGCTGAAAAGACAGCAATTAGGCAACATTCTGTCAGTAATGAAAAGGAGATGACATCAACTTAGTCTAAATTGTGATCATATACAAAATCACACACAAATACTTAACTGTGAGCTAATGAAAATCTAGAAATGATACAACAGAGAAACTGTACTTCTAATTAATGACTAAATTAAGCTGAGTAAGATAATACTTCAGTATTTAAACAACAAAGGGGTTGAAAGGAATAGTTTTAAATCTGTGATATTTAATATTACCAAAAATACAAGGACTCTCTGGATTAATACAAACATGCACTCAGAGTGTGAATGAAATTTGGCCTTTGGGAATCTGCTACCCAACAGTCCATGAGATCATTTTCATTGTTGTTCAGCAAACACTGCTGAAATTCAGTGGGCAGGAGATGGTTTATATTCATATTATAATCCCACTAGCTGTGAGTGGTTAGTGTTTTGATTTGACAAATGAAGTAGGAAAGGAAATACTGACAATTTACACTTTCTTACAGTGGGAATGATGTTGATCACATCACTCAAACTCAAATGGACTCTAAACAACCCTTGAAGTGCTTTTGCAAAAATGGGGAGATTTTCAGGCTTTTACATTGTGATGTTTAAAGAAAAACCTGTAGTCAAATAAAGTCAAATTTCAGTTTGTAAATGTTTCACCCCCAATTGAGGTCTTATTTTATTAGTTTTGGTGACCAGTCCTATTGGTAATATAAACACTGTCTTTACCAAGTTAACTGCTGGGATCTGGGACCGCCACAACCCATGGTCAGTCTACCTGCTAAGTGTGGTGAGTCATGAGACATGAGCAGTCAGACAATCAGGCAGGATGGAAACAAAACCACAGTCTAGGCAAATTTATTTGGAAGAGAAAACCAATGAATGTTGCCACCTCCCTGCTCAACTTTTACATGCAGTACTTTGTGTACCATAGTGTTTAATGAAGGATTATCACTGATATTTTGTGCCCTTTCTGTTTTACCTCAAAATAAAGTGGTTTAGATAATCTGGATAAATTGTTGGCTTGTTAACCACCTGTCTGATCGTCTGACGGACCCAGTGAACTTTCATTGATGGCCCCATCTTTTCCAGATCCCACCAATTACTCTAGTGAGTACAATGTTATCGTAACTGGTAAGAAAATGGCCAAACTCATAAAAATAAGACTCAATTTGTAATTAATTATTCTTTAGCAATCTTCTCAATCCCCACAGTTTATTCAGCTTACACAAAAGAACCTCAGGGTTGGTGAAAAGGATTTTCTTGGGATCTTGGCCAATTCCTTGATCTTTGTCTAATTGCTGTCTCTATCTCTGTCTTCATGCTCCTGCAGGGCATCTTGGCTGTCCTCCTCTTCATCCTCCTCAGCCTCTTCGTCATCTCCTCCTCCATTCATCATCTCCATTTCAACCTCCACTGCACCCTCAACTTCCTCATCCACCCCACTGAAGTGCTCAACATCCTGGGACACCTCCACCATCTCGGTGCCCTGGACCACCTCAACGGCGCCCTCACGGATTTTCTTGACGTGGAAGGTGAAGGGGGGCACCTTGTACACCGCAGTCTTGGACCGGGCATAAACGACATGGTCTGGTGTGAAGGCCTTCTTCATCTTGTCACGGGATGTCTGCATCTTCTGCTTGCGCTCAGGGTTGACACTCATGCGCGTTCCAAGCTTTCCCATCTTCTTCTCAATGTTGTGACGTGTTTTCTCCAGGTTCTCCTTGGTCTTCTGCTTGGTCTTCTCTAAATTCTCCTTTGTTTTCTGCCTGGTCTTTTCCAAGTTCTCTTTTGTCTTCTGCTTTGTCTTCTCCAAGTTCTCCTTGGTTTTTTGCCTGGTCTTCTCCAGGTTCTCTTTGGTCTTTGCTCTGGTCTTATCCATCTTCTCCCTTGAGAAGACCGTCTTCAGGGTTTGTACGCGCTGCAGGCTGCTGCGCTTGATGCGCTCAGCACGAGACTCCTCAATGGTCTCCTCAATCTCCACCCCCTCCTCATCTGATGAGAGGTCTACATGGGGTTTGTCTGCCTTCTCTCCTTCCCCTCCCTCTTCTCCAGGCTCTTCCACAGCTTCCTTGAGCTCTAACAGACTGCCTCCTCTGCTTCCTGAGACAGACTCAGAAACCTTCATGGATTTAGAGATGTTGAGTTTTGAAGGAACCTTCACTTCATCCTGTGGAGGAGAAAATACAGGTTGTCAATGCAATTTAGTGTGATAGGTAGAGGTATCAGGCAGCAAGAAAAACATATACTGTCATCTACAAAAAAACATAAAGTATAAACGATCAAACTAACTGGAAATTTACACAGAAAAATCTTTCTTGAGATATGAATCTGGAGCAACTCCAACAGCAAGCACAGACTACAACTAATGCACACATTGTGTGTTAAGTTGATGGACTTGTAAAGTTGACATATTTGATGGTTTTATGAGTTTGGCTGAGATGTAGTAAATACTAGGGGTGGGAATCTCTAGGCACCTCGCAATCCGATTCTGATTCAGAGGACTCCGATGCCATTATAAAAAAATTACTCATGCGTCTTGATGCAGGATTTTCTTTCTCACTGAGTGACTATTTGCTACTTTTAGTATATTGGTAATGATTCATAATTCAAATAAACATCTGAAGTTAGACATAAATGTAGAAAATATTTTTATTTTATTTTTAAAAATGATAGCAATCAACAGTGGCTCATTAGCCACAATTCTTATTATAAGAGTTAAGGCACACAAAAACAAATAATCAGTAATATTCCATCATAAGACCTGTGTAAAATGCACATGTGAAGGCACGTTGTAGTAGGGTTTGTTACAGTTCTGATTATTTACTTTAGAAAATATAACAAGATATCTCCCAAAATTGGCATTACTAAAACTATAAAACTGCTAGACGCACATGGGTCATCTTGGTTTGGCCAAAATATGGTCACAAGATTATAAAAATGTGATAAATGCATTTAAGGCACCAATACTTATCTTACCACTAGGGAGCAGTGGAACAAGCTGTAAACACAATACTGATATATTATCACCTTATAAAGTTGATTATGTCTAACCTAACCTAAGCTAACCAAGTCCAATTTTTTGAACCAAACACTAACGTTGTGGGCTGTAAATGTCACACTGTGTAAGTGAGCTCGCCTTTTGTTTGTTTAATAAATCATTGTACCAATCAGCCTCCGTGTCCTGCATTTGGGTCAACCAACCTTTCAACCCCACGCACTCAGCTGATTTTGTGACAGTAAACCAACAATGACTGAAAAGACACTGAAAAGCGGGGGAACCGCTGAGGGGAACTGCAGAGGCAGGGGGTTCTCTCTAGCTTCTTCACTATGAGTGAAAACGTTGATGTTCTTTTATTCGTTGTTAATAAAAGACTGATTAGTGCAGATTTATGGTAAAAATGAGCTTTAGGTTCATCTGAAGGTAAATGATGTCCATTTAGGTTAGGCTGACACTAAGCAGGAGGGTTAGAATTAGGGTTTGGTTAGCTAAGGGTTGTGAATTGGCATGAGCACTATCTTTGGGATAGAAGTACTGGTAAATGGAATGGAATGACTTCACTATTATCAAATGCATGTTTGTCTAGTTGAGCATTTTTTACCTCCCTTTCTATGGGCACAGGTACACACTGGCAAACTGATGCAAGCCTAATGTGGGCTGATTACATTTGGCAGAGGCCAAGACCAAGTGGAATCTGAAACAAGACTCTGGGGTTCATTCCAGAAGGAGACGTGACAAAGAAAATGCCTGAGACAAAGGTATGGAAACATGGAAATGGAAATAGATTCACAACTAGATTCATTACACAAACTAAATAACAGTTTGAGAGCAAAGCTGCACGTACATAATACATAGTGCATGCACATGCAGAACGATTACAGACACACAGAAACACACACTGGCTGGATGCAAAGGGGAGGAGAGAGCTCCAAGATGTTGCCGTCCGGTTGAGGATGAGTTGATGTTTTGAGGTACATGTCTACCTCCTGTTGTATGCATCCAGAAACACTAAATTACCTACTTTAGCAACCACAAAAGGACATATATGGTATAACATGGAGATGTGTTTCAGTTAATTTTCAGTAAATTTCCCCTTGGTTTAAATGAGAAGTGGTAAATGTGAAATCTGTTTTGTTGCATGGACTATGGGTGTGGAAACCAGAGGTAATATAAAGTCATTGTTTTTCAATTTACATGTAAGTCTCAAGTGTTGGCTATGTCCTGAGTCAAATCGCAATCAAGAAAGGTAAGTCAAGAGTCAAGTCGTTACAGCAAATGTAATGCCATTTTAAATTTGAAAGAAACAGATAGTGGATTTTGTTAATATTTGTGTTTATTGCTTTGAAACAAAACCGATCAGGTGTCATTGGTCGGTATTTGTATTGCACCTTTCTAGTCTGCTGATCACTCAAAGCGCTTTTACACTACGTCACATTCACCCATTCACACACTGATGGGAGAGGCTAAGGTTTCTGTTCATCAGAAACAGAAATTGCCATTCATACTTAGGGAGCAATATCTTCAATACTGAGGGATTGAACTGCCGCTGTTCTGATTAATGGGCAACCCGCTCCGCCTCCAGAGCCACAGCCACACCCTTCTTCTTGGTATATGACACTTCTGACACATTTACAATCATTCTCATTTCTGAACTGAATCTATTGCATGATGCTGTTTATGTTTTGACAGCAAGAGAAGCGTTACATTTTTGGGGTGGATATCAAGTTATTCCAAGGCCAAAAGCTAAAGTTCAAGTGAGGTTACAAGTTACTGGTGTTAAAGTCAAGGTCAAGTTGCAAGTCTAAAGTCATCAAATTCATGACTGGAGTCTGACTCATTAAAATAACTGCTCCTAGCAACAGGACTGCAACTTCAGTGTCAACTGAAAATTATGTCAAGGGCACAGATACATCACTTGCTCCGAAATTAAATGAAAAGAAATCACCACCCCCCTGGTAAGAAATCACCCAACATGAAAATGATCAGGCTGAAGAACTAAACTCAAACAAAATGGCAATTCAGTCTGATTATCAAGCAAGTAATAACCATAGTCTACAGTAAAGTAGAACCTGGTAAGACATTGTACTACTCGACATTTAATAGGTAGAATGGCATAAAACAGGTTGATGGACCCATTTCCACTTCATGAACTTAACACTAGCATAACCCACAGCACAGAATGTCTCATTTGAAAAATATATCCATGCTGTTTGCTCATACCAAACATATTAGTGTGACCTGACCCTAGCCCGCCCTGATAAAGCACTAGTGCACAGCACCACTTTATGCTCTTCTTCTTCTTCTTCCATTGTCCAATCCACGTTTTCTCACCTTTCCCCGTTTGCATTCCAGATGAGGGAGCCTTTCTTTCCCTTTCTCTTATGTGCCCCCTTCACCTCGTAAACACAATGCTCCAGCTTGCTCCCACCAATTCCTCATCCAACTGGGCTCCTGAATGTCTGCATGAGGGACAAAACTTGTTATACATATTGTCTTTTCCTCCCCCTCTACACGCCTTTAGGGTCAAAACAGGAACACAACAGAGCCAGAACAAAGGACCACACAGGGTGGGGGGGTGTAAGGTGTGGAAAAGGGAGATACTTCTCTGCTGTCGTATGAATCAAGTAATTGTACAAGTGGGATGATGCTTCAGAGTCTTGGAAAAACATCTGTTTAGCAGGAAGATGATAGCATCAAAGTGTTGGCTGGGAGGTGGAGGTATGAGAGCTGAGGGTGAGTGGGGGGAACCTCCTGCCTATTGTCTTATTTTGCAGCGTGATTGCAGTTTTATGAAGGCATTGTACTGTTGTATCTTGGGTAAACTTGACCTTGCATGAGGGATTGTGGCTTTCCTGAACAGCTGTGTTGACAGGTAGGAGTGCTGGAAAATAGCTCAATTCATTACATACTGTTTCAATCTTAAGGACAATGCACTGGGTCTTGTAAATTGCTTAAACAGCCTGTGGTCCAGGCCTCTGACATGGCCCCACAGATTGTCACAAGAGCTATAATATGGCAGTTTCTGCAGTCATATGCATGATTTCTTATCAGAGATCAGACAGGAAGCCTGTGATCCACCTGCAGGTGGAGTCAGGCTCGCTCAGCTGGGAGAGCTTGTCCTACAGCAGATGATGTGCTGAAGGCGGAGCTGAAATCCACTAACAGGATCTTAAATTGGAGCTGTCCACTTGTCCACACCCAGGATGCATATTAATGCCAAACAGGTAAACGTAAACAGGGCCTTAGAGGAACATGGACACACAGGGTATACAGTGTGTGCCAGGGAAAGCCCAGTCTGACAGCTTAGAGTTTAGGAGGTCATAGATTAATGTGCTTGCATAAGAAGGAAGCTGGGTTACAGGAGGGAATTCTGTGCTGCAAGTTTGTGTGTGTGTGTATGTGTGTGTGTGTGTGTGTGTGTGTGTGTGTGTCTGTCCGTGTCCAAAGTACATGGAAAGAGTGTATGGGGAAGTTCAGGAATTCACCTTGGTGTGTTGACTTCCCAACCCTCCTAATTTAATGGGACATTGTTCTCCACGAGGCTGCTGCACCAAAGACAGGAAGGTACACTCAGAGCCATGGAAAATAGACAAACGTGGTATGTAATGGTTCTGTGAGTAAGAGTGTGTGTGTGTGTGTGTGTGTGTGTGTGTGTGTGTGTATGTTTGTGTGTGTGTGTGCATGTGTGTGTGAGGCAATGAGACTACATTTTGCTTTCAGCCCATTGCAAAACATGTAAGAAGATAATTTCCATATTTGGTTTGCTCTTAAATTACAAAATGAGGTTAGTTGCAAAACATATTGAACCATAATGTGTGTGGTGTGTGTGTGTGTGTGTGTGTGTGTGTGTGTGTGTGCGTGTAAAAGAGAGAAAAAGAGAGACACAGAGTCAGTGTGTCTTGGAGCAATGGGAGTAGTCGTGATTAGTTTCATCACAATACAGGGCTGTGCTTGTTGCTCTTTATGTCTTGTTATGCCTTTCTTTCTTTTTCTTTCTGGTCCCAGTATCTCTCTTTCTTTCTTTCCCTCTCAGTCTGTCAGTGGTAGGCCGACTGCTGCATGCAGTGACTCATGGCTGGTGGAAAAGTCATTCATCTGAGAGGTGTTTACAGTGCTTTTACTCTGGCTCTCTGTCTCTCTCTCTCCCTCTCTGTCTCTCTCTCTCTCTA